ATGTTAAATTGGTAGCTGTACATTTCGAAGCCATCAATTGACTGCTTCTATCGCAAGCATCTAAAATTACATTTAGCCTTGAGCTTAAATGCTTCAGTTCTTTTGATGCGTACTTTTTAAACGCTTCAAAATCATTGCATTGAGCTGAAACAAACTCAACTGATCGTTCTTTGCCCACAGTGTCACCGCCATGTTCGATGCCAGCATCATGATTGATTTCTTCACGTCGATGTCCAATTTTCTCAGTCAATTTATCCAGTTGCTTCTTGAGATCTTCAATTTCATTCCTTAACTGCTGATTTTCTTTTTTTAGTTGGTTTTCTTTACCAGTCATAATTAGGGAAACTTAATAGAATAAAATAACACAGAGCGAGAAATATGCGTCCGCTCAGCTCAGCGTCCGCTCTTTTTCTCTTTTTCTGGTTCTGAGGGCATAGTAACATAGATATCAACTGAAAACTTACTTCTTGACTGCCTTCATACTTGTGACACATAACTGGTTAGCAATATTACAATATCTGGTCAGCTCAGTTGAAACTGAACTGAACAACTAGATTATGCAACTTAAACTAAAAGTTTTAAGCTACAAACATTTCAATAATTATTGCGATATATGAATTCAAACAGAGTGCACACAGAACACCAAACATAAACAGCTTGGGCATTAAATCTAACAATTAATTATACTAAAATGAATGTTTAGTGAAACAATTCCCTCTTCTGTAAAGGGAATTTTCTACTTACCAGGAATGGTGGCATTGAGGGATCCCTCTTTTGTTTGAAAAAAGTATCAATGAAAACTTCTGTAAAGGGAATTTTCTTCTTACCAGGAATGGTGGCAACAAAGGATTCTTTAGTATTAACGCTTCCATGGAAAGATACCTGCAATCAGCCAGAGTTTTGACTGTTTACCACAACTGTTACATATATGATTTATGGAAAAAAAAATAACCAAGCAAAGTTCCTTGTGTTATTTTTCTCACCTCATCATCTTTTCCAAACATCTCAGTTGCTTCATCTTGTTTCTGTGAAATGACATAGACATGAACCAGTTGTTCCAGTTTAATTGTTACTACATGGTTCTTTCAAGATCCTTTTTACATGTTACTTACCCTAGTTATCAAGCACAGTTTTTCTGATTGGATGAGAATGTTGCTGTGTAGGTTTGCATCAGGAAAAAAAACACAGATCCAACTTGATGGAATGAAAAATACTCTTGGGAAGTCTCCTGACCCACCCAGCCATACACCTCTTGAAAATAATTTCATGAAAAAGAATGTAAGCCTGTTGATGCTTGATTATTAAAGGCCTTTTGTGAAAGTTGTTTAGAGTGCAGGCATTTTTTATATATATAAGCCTTGTCCCTAACTCTTGTGCTTCTTGAGTGGTTAAATGAATATTTATAAATTTACTTAGCCACTTATAAATGTTGATCATATCATTCTTCATTCTTCATTCTCCTTTTTTTCCCCTTCAAATATCCATTATCCGTAGTTGAATATCATGCGTGGAGCTAACTCTAAGAATTATGTTGATCAGATTTGATACATCTATATCAAATTTGTCATTATGCTTTCAGATATTTTGGAGATTTTTTTGGCATGTGACTAATCTGTGCATCCAAAACACTAAAAATAATTTGAAAAATTAAATATTCTCCAATGGTTTACTCACCAATCCTTAGTGGAGGTGGAAGTTAAAAGTAACTGGGTGTTCCAGTTGATCCTCATATACATCTTTCAGGGAGTCTCCAAGGTGTAACAAAATGTGTGATGCTGATTGGTGAAATAGTCGATTGATTTGATGAAATGTTCAAGAAAGTTCCTTGGTATGCATGTTACCATGACTAAGCAGTCTGGAGTTCTCTAGAAGCTTACACTTACAACAACAACTACTCATAACATTACAAATGTTAGTAGTGCTCTGATATCTCTGGAGTCTTAATGGTCTTATTAGAGTGAGAGTGTCTGGACATGAACATTGTCAACATTGGTTTTGCCCATAAATGTTAACTGTGTGGTTGTAAACTTTTAAAATTCTTTTAAATCCAATTATCACGACCCATGTATATATTATTTACTGGTATATATCTTAATCAAGAATATTACTACCTTGCCTTCCAGATTGGCTCTTAGTATTGTCAATCCACAAGTAATTGTGCCAAGCAGTCTAAAAGCCCATTCAAGGTGAAACCAAAGGAAAAAAAGAAGTATTTCAATTAAGCCTTAGTTTCTTAACAGTTAGATTTGCTTCAAAACATGATATGAAGCATCACAGTCTTCATCAGTTGAAGAGTTTTAAGGTAAATCTTTCGAGGTTTTAAAGCACTTAAGAACATAAAGATTTTAGCGAAGCAATTTATCTTGCCATCTGTTCCTCATTGTTATAAGGGTAAAATAGGGCCACGGCCAAAACTTTCTTTGCTCTTGCAACTTGATGGTAAATCTGCATTTGCAAACCAACATTCAAGAAGGAACAATGTATTGATAAATACAATAATATAATTTTTTACGTGTATCAAAAACTAAATTTTAAAGAAGCAAGTGATATGATAACAATAATTGTGGGTGGCTGACCAGCGAAATATGAAGGGTCATCAACACCTACCTCCTCAAAGCCCACTTTCACAAATAGGGGCTGGACATCTCTTTGGCTCGTCTTTGACCAAGATGAAAATTTTTTTTGTGGTCGTGCCTCACTTTTTTTTAAAATTGACTTTGCGGGGGGGTATGCCTTTTAACACCCTCTCCATCCTCCTCCTACTACTCATGGACTTGTAAATATAGTAAATAAAAAGTCAATTGTAGTAATCATAAAATGTAAACTCTTAAGTTAAACAGTTACTTAATGGATTTTCTTTATACTTGTTTGCTTAGGGTTAAGATATGTATTTGCTGCACCAGCAACTCCCTGTTACAGTATAACATAACCAACAGAAAAACACTGCTCTGACGAACTAAACAACTTTACTAAACTAGAGGTAATATTCTCACTTACAATATAATAACTTACAACATGATAAGCAAGGTCCTAAATATCTTACTTGAGCCCTCTACAAATCATATCTTAGCTTACCACTACACAAACTTACGACTGTCTTCAAAGTTCCTAGTTCCTTGCACACTGGCTTACCACTACACCAACCTCCACTTTCTCCCAAGTTCCTTGCAAATCACAATCCCGAGAAAAGCCTCTTTGTGCTCCCAGACCATCTGGTTTGTTTTCTCTCCCAAGGGTATGTATTGACAAAAACAACCTACATAAGCGGCAACTACCAAAGAACCATGTACGCAATCTGGTGATGTATTTGCATGTAACAAGCATGATGCAATAATTGCATCACTCGACATAATGTTCTAGAACGTTCCCTAACTAAGCAGTATTCTGCCTCTTGGCTACTGATTAACAGAAATAATAACTCAACATGGGTTGCCTTAGTTATTAAGTCTGAGGAATAAGTTCTTTGAAATGAGTTATACACAATGTCTCAATCTTTGTAAAGGTTTCCTGGCTCTTCTAATAAACAAAGTTTCTTATTGGGTTGCACTAATGATCAGCCTCTCTTAAGCACCACTGGTGTGTGAAGCCTTAGGTGGTTGAAATATCCACTGGCATCCCTTCTGTAGCAGCCAGCCCCGGATTTGTTTCTGGTTCCAGTTGTCAATGGCTTCTCTGATCTCTCTTTTGGCCCCAACAAAATTGGTTGATCAGGTTCCAAGGAAGTAGCCAACTCCAGCTGAACTGCTCTAGAGTTCAAACAGGTAAATATTGCACCCCAACTCTTGACTACTGCTCTCCCTCTCTTGATGTTTAATAGGCCGAAGTAGTCAACTCCAGTGTGAGTGAAGCATGGCTGGTAAGCTGTGGTGTGAAATGTTGGTGAGGCAGCCATCATCTGCTCCATTTTGGTTGCCCTCTGTTTCTTGCATGTAAGGCTGGACCACATGACCTTTTGCACAGCTGATCTTTGTTTTGGTATCCAAAACTGCTGTCTCATTTGTCAGTATGCGTTCCTGACCAGCATGAGCTAGTTTCTGGTGGGCGTCTTCAATCAGCAATCGAGCCACATGATGTTTTGGAAGAATTATCATAGGGTACTTGTCTCCTTGCATAATGGGGGCTTAAAGAAATGTGGCTACCAATTCTCATAACACCATCAATCAACATTGGCCGGAGTCTGACAATCCCACTTGTGTCTTTCACATTCCCTTGCTTCTCCAAATCACTAATCTCTTCTGTATACATTTCTCCTTGTATCAGCTTCACTATAGCAACTGTTGCCTTCTTCAAATCTTCTGTTGTTGGGTACTTGGCAATGCTCTAATGCCATTACGATGCATCAGGTAGGCTTGGAATTTCAACAGCCAGGCTATCTTTTGTTGTAGTACTGTCCAGGAAGAGTATGTCACAAGCAATTCATGCAACTTGTCTGAAGTTAGCAAGGTGAATATAGGCTTCTCATTCTTGACCTCTGAGTTGTCCTCCAACACCTTGCTTACTTCAGCCAGTGGTTATTCTTCCTCAGCCTTTAACAAAAAGGCTGGACCACTGAACCATCTCTGACTACTCAGTTGGTGTGCTGAAAGCCCATGAGATGCGTCATCAGCAGGGGTAAGAGCCCCTGGGCAGTGTTTCCACTGGAAAGGATGAAATAGTATAGGATAGATAGGGTAGATAGTACACAATTATTTACAAAAACTTTACAATACTTGGAAATTACAAATGAATCCTAGAAAATAAATTGAAAACTGATTTTTAAGATAATATTAAAAAATTGCATATATCATTTCATATTGAAATATGTTAAAATATAAAGCATGAATGTAAGTGGGATAAAACTACAGCCTGGACTGTTTTAACATCGCATATATAAAAGTATTACTCGTTCTGTTCATGCAAAGTTTTGGCATATTTAGTTGTCATGGTGTGGTGGAAGGAGGCCTAGTAGCTTTGTACTAGTGACTAACTCTACCTCCTTTCCTTCTATGATGACAGGATCACGTTAATGCTGTGCGGGAAAGGATGCCCAATTGTGTTATAAAAGATGTGAGGTCAAGGTTTCCTAACCCTCCTGGTATTCCCTATATGGGGCATAAAAGGGAATAATAAAATTCTCATTCAAATGCCCACGTCAAAGAGAGCCCAAGTACCAAATTGTTTATGGTCCATTTTATAATGTCCACACAGCAAATTATAGTGACTTTCCTATAAGTTAGGAAAAGATATACAGTGCAGAGAAAAGTAACAGATAATGAGTCTGCTTGGAAAATACCTAGTGTCAAACCTCATACTCATGTTTTCATCACTTAGTACCAGCAGTTGGTAGAATTGGTCCTCCCTAATGACCTCACATATTTTACAGGATATTTGGGCTCCTAGTTGTAATTATCACAGAAACTGTGGTGCAATGGAAAACAGATGAGACATCATTTGTTTATATTAAAAAAGGTAGACCAGATAGTTTCTCTGAAATTAAATGTCTTTGAAGTAAGCACCCTGGTCTCTGCCAAGCGGTTTGGATACCTGGTATGTTGGTACATCTGTAGAGACAATGCTTCTTGATTCACATTTTCATTCTGTAAGACAAATGAGTCAATAAGCATGAGAAAGCAGTGAATCCAAAAAGTGCCAAAGTTATTTTGACGAATTAACAACATAAGTTTCTTACCCAATCAAGAATGGCTAACTCCATGCGCATGTTGTATGAGTCATCCCCATAATGAATCCGCTTTGCAGCATAAATGAGCATCACTGAATGGAGAGACTCAATCCAATATGTTTCCCTGCACTAAAGAAGGCAACAAATTATGGGTGATTTTTCTTTAACTGGAAAATGAATTATTTTGTTCAACTCATTTATGGCCCTTACCTCAACATCATTAATTTGGAAGAAGAGATAAACTTCTTCATGCAAAGAAACATAAACATACAGCATGTGTCAATTATTTACCCGCATGTAGTCCGATGCATGCCTATAAATTGAAGTGCTCATAATGGCTTTCCTGTAGGCAGCTACTGCTTCAGGTTTAGTTAACAGTCTTTTGCTCATCACATAGCCATTCTGCTTGCACCGTGACTCTGCATGGCATCTGACATGATTACCCTGAGTAATAAATACACCAAGTTATGGAAAAATAGATTAATAAATCAGTAGTAATAATTATAGTAAATATAATGTCTCTTGTTCACCATTATTAAAGAAATATGTGCAATCTTTGAGGTAATGATCATGTCATATCTTGCTAGAATAACACAACAAAAGGTACTTACAAAAATGAAAACAAAATACTATGTTCTCTCAATAAACAGTCATTCAAATTACATGGTAATGGTCAACTACATTCAACAGTGTACCCTGAAATTCTTCTTCAGTGGGTGGACTGTTCTTCATGCAGAAGTACACATGAGTCCTTGTACTTTTCACTGTAAAATATTCACAATTATTATATTCCATTGTATTCATCTCATATCAAGAAGGAATTTGACATCTGCAGATAATTGTAGAGAGAATATAGCTTCCGATGACTCTCATAAGAGAGATATCTTACCTTTGTCGGACAATTCAAAAAACCACTTTGAGCCCTCATCCCTCTGTGGTCCTGAGGCAACTTTCTTCATTGCTTTAGTCACAGACTTTGCACCTGAAAATAAACAAAAAATTATAATACCAATAAAAGGCTAATTTTCAAGAAATAGTCATAATCATCAAGACAAAATGAGCCAAAAAATACAAGTGTATACTGAGTACCATGCCAAGAGTCAAAGGAATTAAGCATTCCTTTTGACAAGATCCATGTTTTTAGCTGTAATACAAAGTCATGTGCCACCTCTGCAACATGGAACCCTGAAAAAAGAATTACTTTAGTTGCATTATAAAATATACTTCTGATCTCCATATTTGTACTACATATGTGATATGATATTATTGAGGATGCAAACTTATCATACCTTGTGTCTCACAGAGATAAGTCAACAGCTCTTTTGTCATAGGGACCTCATGGCTTACTGCTGAAGTTTCATTGGCCTTACTCCAGTTGACAACTGCTAACACCTTTTTGGTCCTAAAGATAATCAGTGCAAATGAAATGATTTTAGGAATGGTGTTGAACATAATAGAGGTTCAACATATCGTACAAAGAAATCGAGTAGAAAGCATCTTAAGAGAAAGAAAGGGCTGAGACTGTTGTGTGTGCTGCTGATCGACTGGAATCATGCCTTGCATCTGTTATAACACACTGCAGGAAAATGGTAGAAATCAAAACATAAAAATGGTCACATTTCTCTACTCACAGATATTTTCAAGGTTTACAATCTGATATAAGATTTTATATCTTTGTACGTGCCAGTCTACATAATATACTCCGAGTATGGCAGGTGTATAAGTATATGGCCAAAGACAAAATGAAGTTAAAATGACTACTTGTACCTCTCCATTCACAGCATATGCAGGGTTACTCTTCACTTGTTCTTGAGCAGCCAACATCGACTCATTGGAAACCCTCTTCACGACTGTCAAGTAACCAAGCTTTTTCAAGACTGTTGAAGTGATTAAAAATAGAAGTATTTTAGAATGCATCTGGTAGGGCAGAAACCAAAGAAGGAACAGTTCAGTCAGTTTGAGCTATCTTGATAGAACATTCATGATTTAACAACCTGCAAACTGCTGTTGACTGCCTTCTCCTTGCAAGGAGAAAGACTACATGATTTTCAGAGCATCTGAGAATGTGCATTGCTAACCTGTGTCGAAGGTCTTTTCTCCCTCTGACCCGATGTTGGCTGCTTGACAGAAACTTGTGTATTGTGTCTCTGTCAAGCCACAGGACAATACTCCATGAATCAATCTATGAAAAAGAGAGACAGATAAGTGACCAGTTACAAAAAACAAAAACTCTAAAATACCGAGATAATAAATTTCAGTAAATTTCGAGCAAAAAATGAAAGAGTGCTCACCTCAAATTTACATAGTACTTTGGAGGAGATCCTCCCATGATGGGGGAGGAGAGCCACTTGAAAGAATCTCCACCAACGCATGAAATTGTCACTGACATGACATGACTCTGTCGATTGAAGACAAGTGATTCACAATCGAGGGGTTTTCCACAATAACAACATGATGTCGATAGCGTATTACAGAAAAAAGAAAACAGAGTTCGCAGAGATTCTTCGCTGCAGAGATATATGGAGTCGTTCTCTGCTGAAGATGTAGTGATTTGCATTCTTTGTGGCGTACGTTCTGCTTGTGGAAGAGAAATTGGAGAAAAAGGATCACTGAAAGGCAAAGAAATACGCGAAGATGGAGTAGAAGAAGCTGAAGGAATCAAAAACCGTGCAGTTGTGGATGGTGTAGAGAGAAGAGAGGGGTTCGGACTTCCCGTTGATGATAAGCTCAGATCGCTCGATGTCAGTCGTTTCCTCTCAATTTTCTCCTGAAAAGCTAACAGAAGAGCTTCCATTAAATCTGCATTCTGTGTGCTTGTGGTCGCTTTTGTGAGATTCAACAAGCCTCTGGCCATCTTTATGCGGTCTTTGATGCCGAGAAGTCTGCTCTCCTGAGTTCGAGGAACTTCTATGTTGAACGAGAACTGAGGACCTCGATCTGTTGGACGCTTTTTCTTGGGTACAGATGGGTTATTTCCCTCAGCCATAACGATTAAATTTCCCAATAAAAATATCTTTCGAGCAGCGACAGCCAAGACTTTTCCCCAAACTGAACTAGAGTTGTGAAATTCTGTCTCAAAATCGCACTTGCGAAATCATCCATACTTTAGAGGTTTTGTCACAGAATATTGTCACAAATAATAATAGTCTGAGCATTGCGCATAGAATGTTTCATGAATCCGCTAGTTTCAATGAGAATAATCTGAAGGCTCGGAGAACCAATGTGTATTAGGGGCTTGGGACATAAGCCGAAGTTACGCGGCGCGAATTTTGGAAAGACAACTGTACGAGTGTCTCGTCGACCGCAGATCGCGCTTTGAGCGGCCGAACGATAACTTAATGCCAATTAATATCAAAATGAGCTCAATTATGGGAATTAGAGTCAACAACACGCAATATCTTCTAATTTATTGACACAAAAAAACACTTAAAGTGTGTCTTTTATGCAGACCGTTTCACTCATGGTGGGACCGTTGGTCGCCATATTGGATGAGTTTTGCATTTGAGCTGAAACAAAGGGGAGGAGCCAAGCTATTTATAGCGCGCCTTCGTGTTTAAGATCTCAGGTGAGTCTGACTTGAGAGGAACCTGTTCAAGAGGAGCTGGTAGTTTATACTCCTCAAGTGGTTTGAGGAGAGCGGCATTGATGGTATTTGCTTGCTCTTTGAAAGGCAATACTGAGAATCCTTTGATGTTAATCTGGCTGTTGTTTCATCCTACCATCTTTTCTGGTTTTCTCCTTTTAGGTGCTGGATCTTTGACTCATAGTATTTCCCTCTGCAGATTTTTCTCTGTCAGTTGACATGGTTACGAAAGTATTTAAATTGAGGTGAGTCAGGGCCATATGCACAGAACACCTTTTGTCTCTTCATAATAAGAGATTTCAAACTCTTGAATTTGGCCGTGCAGATCTTGACTGGTTTGGCAGGCATGATGGTATCAAGGCCTGAATGTATGACATCTTTGAAGACTTGCCATTTCTCTTCACAGCTCACCAGAGGAGTGAACAACAGAGGCCAGTTTATATGCGTCAGATATCTACCCAATGCCGCCTTGATGCTTGTTCTGAAGTCATGCCTCATGGAAATTATTTTGTTGTTGATGTTGCGCTTTTCTGGTTCGGTGGAGATGTGTCTCTTATCTCAGCAACCCAGTTGGCAACGTAGGTCTTGAATCTATGAGAGTCATTATTGATGTACTGCAGTGTGATGCAGAAGAATGAGGAAGAAATGTCCAAATCAGTCTCCTTTAATATTAAACCACGAACACGTACTGTTGTTTCCGATAATTCCGATGTTCGATAACTCGCGATTTCCTGTAAATATTTCGGGATCGATGTTCGATTTCACACGTACGCAAACTTGATTTTTCAATGTGCTTCTTTATTATGTTACAAAATCATCTTATATTACATTTGATATTATTAACTCAACCGGAAGTCACGCAATGTTACGAAATAGTAACGCACTATCCTTTTCGTCTCTATAACACGTACTGTAATTATGGCTGCCTGTAATTCAAGTCTTGGCATGGAGGCTTACTGAAGGTGGGCTGTACAACTCTTAACCATGATGAAGGAACATTGCACAGTTCCGTCCTCTGCTTGCTTTCTCAATTAAGAGACAGTTCCATGACCAGATGCATCACTGAAGTGGTGTAGCTGAAACAATGCATTGGTGGGAAAGCTGCCATGAAAATAACGGCGAGGGATTTTAACATGGTTAAGTAGCACCAATTCTTCTTTCCATTTCTTCCAGTCTTTCATCATTCTCCCAATAACCTTTCATCCCAATGTAGCTTAAACTGCTAAGTCTTCTGCATGACTCTTTAAGTTGGTAGCAGCACTGGCCCAATCATCTCTAGTGGATCAAAGGTGGAGCTTATTGTCGATAAACATCCTCTTCTTGTGTCGTTATTCATCTGCTTTGACTACAGGGCTACTTTAACTCCAAACGTGTCTGTTTTGGTGTCCCACTGCAACCTTAGACAATACCTCTTTCACGTTGGAAACAAATTTTGTCAGGTGAAGGTTCCCTTTCCGTAACAACTGTATTAGCTGTAGTGATGCCTTGATTGCTCATTCTGTAGTTGCAATCATCCACGTATAAATTTTTGGACACAACTAAGCACACGTCATTTCCGAACTCAGGTCTATGGTCAGTGGCTGTCCTCTTCAGAGCCCAAGCAGTAACACAGGGAGAATCTGCATTTACAAACAAATGCACAGTCATCTTGTGATCACTTGCCAGCTCTTCAATACTTTAACTCCACCATAGGCATCTGTCCTCCTTTGCACAAGCTACTCTCAAACAGCACTCCAATGAGTGAGTTATTCAGCTGGGAATCTTGTAACAGTTCCTTGTTAAGTGAGGTTCCACCATGTTCTGCAGCTACATCATACATCACTTGGACCAAGCCTTTTTCGGATTGACTACACCATGGTGGGGAAAATACCATGTACGTTCACAGGCAGAAGCTCATTCATCTTTAGACAACTTTACAGTGTATCCCTTGGCAATGTAGTCATCTATCATTGCTTTGTATTGTGCAGCAAACTCTGGGTCACGCTCAAACCATTTCTTAAATTGTTTCAATCTCTTCTCTGCTATGGACCAGTTGTTTGGCAGCTGGGAGCTACTGGTTTGCCACAAACATTTGCCGCTTTACTGGTTATGAATAATAAATGATGTCCAGGCATTCTGTGTGATGTAGCTAGCACAAATCTGTCATGATTCCTTTTGCCATAGCCTGTCAGGTAGGACTGTGGTAATGTGAGGTTCTTTCCTCTGTGAAAGTTAGCATTGTTGACAGAACTGGCATGACTTGACCTTTGCCTTAATCTCTTTGGAAATACCCTGCCACCACACAGACAGGTTAGCATGTTCACTGCACTTTGTTACAGGTTGTTGGCTAGTGTGAATGCGTTTCAGTATTTCTGCTGTCATGACAACAGTTATCACTAGGCGATCATCATACGTTAACAGGCCACTGCTTATTGACAAATGTCCACATGGAGTGGAACTTCTTGCACATGTGTTGGCCACCCTTGTGATGTAACTGCAACCACCCTTTGGAGCTGGGCATCCTTTGCACCAGCCTCTTTAATCCACTCCAGTTGGTTATCGGTGGCTGGCCTTGAAGATTCAACTAAGTCTATGAATGCTTGAACATCTTCCACTGTATCAGGTTCCTTGAGACTTGAGATGGCTTCTTGACAGAGTATCGGCCACTACCATCTGCTTGCTAGGTATGTGTTCTGCAAGAGAAATATTGCCCATAGAATTTCATCAGATTACAAAAAACTAAGGGCAGGGGAAGAAAAGGGTTGGATAATTGGGTCCGAAAGTTTCATGTTATGGAGGGTCAAACAAAACCTGTTCATGAACTCTACTAAGAAATTGAAAACATAAAAAATGAGCTTCAAGATTGAAAAAAGGCCTATGAGAATTTAGAGGTGGAGAAGGAAAGAATCTATAAGGAAAGGGTGCTGGCAAAGAACCAAAGGAAAAATGAGAGCTAAGTTTTGCAGAAAACAAACAGAGAGTCCAGTCATTGGAAAATTCAGTGGGAATTAGTTTTTACCAGGGAAAACCTCTTTCAACTGTGAAAAATAAGTTCAGGACCTTAACCCTTTCACCACCAGTCGTTTTTTGCAGAAAACAGCCCTGAACACCAGATGTTTTTGGTACTGTTTGCCGAGATTACGTACATTACTTTAATTGCAATTTTCATGGAGAAGGAAGCATTTTTGCAAAAAAGAACCCCATATGATTTTATTTGTTATAAAATTCTCTTTCAGGTAATTCTATTTACATTTTTAAAGGATGAAAACTGACTGAACATGAACCTCTCAAAGTTGAGATAACCTACGATTTTGAAAAAAAAAACATATGGTCCTTCTTGAAATGTGTACAAACCCACCAAAATTTGTCCAACAATATTCTAAAATGAAAAAATGCTTTTCATAGGACAACCTTAGATGAAAAAAGCAATTTATCTTACAACAAAAGTCATATTTTTACACTAAAACTCACCCGACTTCATTTGCAAAAAAGTCATGTTGTCATTGCGCAACATCTTTTGAGTAAAAAAACTTTAAATTTACCCATTGATTTGTGAGTTTTTACTAGCACTTAGAAATAGTTTTTGTCTCTGTAACAAATGAATTCTGAAATAAAACCTGTTCTTCTATTGAGTTACTGATGTAGTGCCTCTCATTTATTGTCCCTAGCTAGCAAAGTTTTCTTTAGTATGGTAGTCATAGAAGCAATTTGATCCTCCTTCTCCAATGCACAGGTAAACATTGCACTGGCTGCACTTGAAAGTTGTCTTGTGTCTTGGAGAAGGGTTGTCAGGATTTGCTTTCTTTGAAGAGAAGTGCTTTCTTTCACAGACCACACAACGATGATTCTTGCCCTCCCCTTTGAAGGGAAAATGGATTCCAACATTACTGAGACGTTCAGGCACTGGTGTGTCTGCACTCCTCTTTCTTTTGTTAGAGGCAGTTGATTTGTGTTGCTGTGGGAAGTTGCCAACCAACTGCACACAAAGGTCTTCCTTGAAAGACAATAGATCCCTTTTCCTTCTTCCTCTTGGAGTTTCTGGGCGCTTGAACCCCTCAAGAATGTAAGCATTGTAAATGCTTAGAAGGACCATCTTCAGGAAAATGCGAAGGTACCACCTCTTCTGTTTCTTTGACTTATTGACTGCTGTCATTTGGTCTGAGAGATCGACTCCTCCCATAAAGTTATTGTAGGACTTGACAATTCCTGGCCTGTAAATCTTCTTGGTAACCCAGCGTCCTCGTTGCTTGACCCTTCTACACACCACGTCACTTTCATTTCTGACTTCTTCTGATTCAGCCCCAGAGTTGTCATCTTCGACCCAATCTGGTACCACTGGTGGGGAATGTATTGTAGTTAGAAAATAGACATCTTTTTTGTCTTTCCACCTCAAAGCTGTCATTCCTTGTTCCTTTGCAGTAAGCCATGCCACTTCTCCTCGTTTCCTGAGAACAGCTCTTTTCAATTGTTCATGCGGGTAGCCCTTGCGAGGTCTTGCTGTCCCAGCAGCAAGAATTCCCCTTGTCCTCAACAAAAGGAAAAGAATTGGGCTGGTGTAAAAATTGTCAACATAAAGGTGATGGTTTGTATTGTGCAAATCTGCAACCAAATCCATGACAATCTTACCGGTCTTTCCGATGTTACCAGCCTCTCTGTCGTCCTTCCCAGCATAGATAGAGAAATTCTTGCAATAGCCAGTCTTGGAATCACAGAGTTGAAAGAATTTCACTCCAAATTTGATTGGCTTATCTGGCATTCTCACCTTTATGGCTAACCTCCCTTTGAAAGGAACCATAGCTTCATCAATGGAGATTTCACGGGAGCAGTTAAAAATTTCCTTGAATTTCTGAACAATATCATGATAAATACCTCTCACTTTATATAAGGGGTCTTGCTTTTCTTCTTCTGTTTGTTCGTGGTCTGGGTCGCAGAAGAATATGTACGATTTTAACTGGAAGAAACGTTTTCGAGATCGCAAAATGTTTTTCACTCCTGGAATGTGAAATAGCCTTGCTTCTGCAGATGACAGGAAGTAGCGTTCGTCGCGTGGGACAACAATAATGTCATTCGAAATGATCAACATTGCAATAAATGCCTTTAACTCTTCGGATGTGACAGGTTGCCAATTTGGTACTTCTTTCTTCTGAGCATTCTTGTTTGTAAATTCCACAATTTTACCGATGATTTCCTCGGTGAAAAACAACGAGAAAAAGTCAAAAGCCTTACCAGTATCAGGTAAGTTTATTGTCGGACCAGGTGTTAACGTGAACGGTTGCATATCTACATCGAAGCGCTGGTTCTCCCACTTCATGTTTTCGGGCAAATCGAAATTAAAACCAGCGAAATCCTCTTCCTCTTCATCGCTATCGAACAGCTCTTCAAGGACATCGTCATCTTGGAAAGAATATTCGCTTGAAGATGATAAATCTGATCCAGAATTGTCGCTCTCGTCACCTGAAGACATTTAAAAATGGCGAAGTTCGAATTTTTATCTCGTTGAACTTTCAAAACAAAATATCTCAAAAACTTTGTATGAAACCGCGTGGTGATAAAAACACGATTGCATTACTCAAACCCTCCCTAGGAAAATGGCAATATCTGGGCCCCCCAATTGCTAAAAAAAGCCTGGTTACAGAGCGGTAATGTATGTAAATTTATTTGGCCGCTAAAGGGGCCACGAGTGTTGCAGTACCTTTTTGTCAGTGGCCTCTAAAGAGGCCACCGGTGGTGAAAGGGTTAAGAAAACTTTATTTCACAAGCTGAAGCTGCTCTTTCTTTGGTTCTGCTCTTCCTTTGATGTTGAACTACTAGGTTTAACCGTTAAAGAATCAGACAGTGATGTGGTTCACAACATCACAAGTAAACCTAACTGTCAAGATTCAGCCACTCAAGCAGAAGGAGAAGGAAGTATAGCACCTTGATTTCTCTTTTTGTCAGTCTAAATGGCAAAAAAGAAAGGTATGAGAAAGCCAGAGTTACCCCATACATGCAGATCATGGTTACACTCATCCCCAAGTTCTTTGAGCCCCACAACTCAGTCAAAATATTTACAGGGCAAGGGGTTAAAAAGAACAATGATGTAGGGCGTGTAATAACTCTAAGAAAGTCCAACAAGTGGGATTTCGCAGGAGATATTCTACAACAAGAGCAACATCAGTGGGAACTTAAAGAACACTAGTGGGAAGTATGTAGCACAAGGAGAGCTACAGGGATGTTGAAAGTAAAGAAAACCGAAAAAAGGCTCAAGTAAATCTCAGCCAAGATCCTCTCCAGTAAACTATCAAAGCCCAAAATGAACATCTCCCTGAGTCCACTTCCACTGACACTAGCTGTTCTCATATGACAGTAAAGCAATAAATAATATGGTGTTATAGTGAGACCTGTATCTAACAATGACTGGGGACTAGGTGAATTTGTTCGCGAAATTGAGGGTTCACCTTATCACCGTATTTATTCCGTTACACACTGTGGCGTTTATTAAATTATTCTTCCTTTGAGTGCCGCCTTTATTCGAGGGCGCAGTTTATTTAAAATCCAATTTGTTTTTTGCAAAGAATAGTATGTTAACTGAATATTTGATTTTAAAAAAAAAACCATGTTTCGTATATTGTTCTCATGTTTCGATTTTCAAATGTACTGATCTTAAAACATTGTTACAATGAAGAAACATAAATTTTGTAGGCTTGCACAAACTCGATTATATGTTGTTGCATTTGCTTTTTGATGATGCGGTGTTTATTCGAGGGCGGCGTTTATTATGATAATCATTTCTGCTCTAAACTGCGGCGTTTATTCGAGGACGGTTTTTAATCGAATAAATATGGTAATCACTTTATTTATTGCACGGGCGATCACGGAACTGTTTGCCAAAACTCTAAACAGTATTTTTGACTGTTGCAGATTGAACCCTTATGGCGTTGCTCCGCTTTTTAACAAACATAGGTGTTGTGATCACTCGTGCGAAACGTCGCTTCAAACTTTCAAATTTGAAAATCAAACATGCAGGGTTCGAGGTTTACGCTAAGATGCAACCGACCGATGTTCCAAAATACAAAAAACTAAAACTTACTTCTCTCCAGTGTTAAACTCAGTGAGGAAATTATACAGGCAGTTTGCCACCTCCACTGACCCACGTTTGGCTGTCGTCTCGTCCCACATAAACATATAGCCGTGGTTGGACACGCAATGGTGGATACCAAAGTTGCAGGTCCACAGCTGCCTCTTATAAAACATATCGTTATGCTGTAAGTTTGGGGTCTCCAGATTTTGTTGAAAATCATAAGTTATCATGTCTACGGCATCTTTACTGCAGTGTTTTACTCCTGAAGAGCCAACTGGACGGGGCTTTCCAACCCAGCTCCTCACCGCGTGTGCCTTGTCGTCTTTACGCATTGTAAATGCAGATTCGGCAAGTTTGTGATGTTCCTCGAGTTCTTTTTCAAGTTTTTCTTTTTCCGCGCCCTCGGATGATCGCACTTTAAGGGCCAGTTTATCGCAGGTGGCGCAAGTGTCGGTGCGAGGTAGTGCGAAGCCCAGGTTGAATTCTCCATTGAAGATGTCCCTGTATGGGTGTAGTAGGATGTGGGCTTTCAGTTTCAGTGGAATTGGTGTTGTGTTTTCCTGCTGACATCTAAGGAAATAAAATGATTCTCTATTATCACAGCGCCGAAAGTAATGCGTTTAGTGCGTTTAGTAGAGATGTACAAACTACCGCGAACTGATGTCTTTAATACCTGTCGACATTGTCCTTTATTATAAAAAGTTTACGCTTAAGTTTTCAAATCTGCCATTGGCAGTCCTTGTGAATTTTTTGTATTTTACAATTTCCTTTTTTTTTTCCTCGGTGTATTTCCTCGTTTTTCTGGCGTTTTTTACGTTGAAAGGGTATTATTTATTTTTATTACCTCTGACCTTAAAACTCATTTAACTGTTGGTTTGTTTTGAGCTATTACAGTTACCTTATAATTTCGCGTTCCCTTTCGAGAACAGCTGGCTTGTTCATCTCTAAGTAATCGTAGTACATTCTCTGTACTGACCATCCTTGTTCCAGATACTCTCTGTCAGGGTTGTCTTTGCGGGAATAATGGGATATTTGTCGAGGAAAGGAACTGATGTGGGCTCTGACCTATACAAAAGTACATACGTTAGAATCAATCCTGCGACATACATACAAACCCCAACCCCTTCCCTGTTTTCTCAGACTCCCTTACACATTCCAAATTACATGAACAAACTCACATGAAAAGCTACGTGACCAGCAAAGGGTGCAGTGAATACACATCAACTTGACAAAATTATAATTATAACTAAGTAAATAAAAGCAATTTCAAGCAAATTCATCTCTGTGGATTAGGCTCAGGGTAATTAGATGGGGGCCATTTATAATTTTGTGCATTCAACTTACTTATTGGTCATAGTCTTAGCAACTTTTGCATTTAAGCGGAACCCCTTACAGTCCCCAATGCCATTACAGTGAATTTCATTTTCAGTGACGTAATAATGTCTATGATTGAATAGATACTGGCTGGCGACTGAAATGGATTGATAGTTTCTCAATAGTCATTCTCTGATCTTCTTGAATTTGTCATTTACAATAGAATATGTTTTTGGTGATTGGCTAAAACCAATCTAAAATTTTAAATGGATAGTTAGCCCTTACTCCATCTCCCTTGCAGTCAATAACCCTATCCCAGTTTTCCGGTAAATTACATGGTTAAAATCATCCCTATCCAACAAAGTACACCCCTTCTCCCTTCCCTTCTTTCCTTTACCATAAAACAAAAGACGAAAAGAATCATCATCAAAGCCCAAAATAGCATTTGACCTAGATTTACCTTTCAATTTGAACAGGACTGATAATCTCAGGTTATCAACCTGTCATGTTAGCCTCTCTTTGTCAACAACTGGCTTGTCATAAGTTCTGTAATGAAAATAATGAAAATGGAAACATTGTAAGAGGGGCTGTCTATAAACAGGTAATACTGGAAGCATTGCAGAGGCAGAGGAAAAAAGAGAGCAGCAATTACTGAGTGTATTATTGGTGAAAAAAAAGTTAAGCATAAACCTTTCTATGTATAAGTTTATATGAGTGCATTTCTCTTGTTACTTCTGTATTTCAGCATGTCCAATTGTAGTGGTAATTTAAGTAGTTTGAAAAAATGATACAACAATAAATACCTAACAAGATTGGTAGTCAAGTTCTCTTCATCTTCCCAACTAGTATGAAACCTGCCATACCCTTTCCATTTCACCAAATATTGAACCTGAAGGTTTTAATTATAAAACTCTAGCATGTAAGAAAATTAATGACATGCATCATAGACCAAGGCAAATTGTGAACTCACCGTTCATGAAATATGAATGATGAGATGACCAAAATTTTGTTTATTTGTACAATTTTGTCCAGTTTTTACACTGGACAAATTCTGTTGGCAGTGTGTGTGAAGATTTGTCTGCTTTGGCCAAAATTTGTCAAGTTGCGATAAACCATATGTAGTTGCTAATTCACAATTTATTTCTTAGCTCCAAAACGATTGAGATCAGTTATATGATTTGAATATGTACAAGCTCTAGGGAATCTGCAATAAGGACATTGCCTTATGGGAGGCACAGGCCTCCCGACACTAGAACAAGAAATTCCTTTTTTTTTTTTTTTTGAATAAAAATGTTCAACAAAAGGTAACAACATGTTAAAGGGTAAGTTCTTAGTCAATCAAAAATGTTTGATCAAAAAATGTTCAGCAAAAGGTAACAACATGTTAAAGGGCAAGTTTAGTCAATCATTTTTGTCTCATAGACTCTCAGGTCACTGAGCTTCTCCAGAATCTGATTCTTCTAGCAAACAAATCTTGGTGATTGGCCTTCTGTATGTTGACCCTTTGGCCCTCTCTTCTGCACTCCTGACCAGTCTGTTGGGTCCAGAAAACACATTAATTACTAGTCCAACTGGCCACTGATGTTGTGGGACATTATCCTTGGCAATAAGGACTAACTCTTCAATGTATAAGTTCCTTTAAGCTTTCTGCCACTTCTGGCGTTCTTGTAATGAGGGAATAGAGACCTTACGATCCGACAACGGCGACGGCGACGGCAACGTGAGAAGTCTGGGTCGAGCGGGGCCACGTCGTGTTGGCGTTCCCGCCAAAATTGAGATTACGAATTTTACGAGCGAGAACGTTGACGACGGTCATTGATGTTTATCGTGTTTAAGTCAACGAAAGTTTTTTAGAAAGCCATGCCAAAGTTCCGTGACACTATTCTCCTGGCTCATGCTTCCCGTTTGATTAACGCTGAATAATTCGTGCTTCTCTACGATTTACACAAGCCTAAAAATCGGATTTACCGTACACTAACTACGAGTGTTTCGATCTCGACAAGATGACCGATGATGAATGTAAAACTGAGTTTAGATTTTACAAGAATGACATTTACAACTTGGCAGAGGTGTTTACTTTACTGGATCGGATCGTTTGCTACAATGGTGTAAATGTCGACATGGTTGAGGCATTGTGCATTTTTCTTAAAAGATTTGCCTATCTCTGTAGATACGTAGACATGATACCCAGATTTGGAAGGCCAGAACCACAATTGTTTATGATCTCAAATGCTGCTATGAACAAGATGTATCAAACATGGAACCGACTTCTCACTGATTTGAACCAGGATTGGTTAAGACCCGATCATTTAGAGGAGTTTGCCGTTGCAGTTCACAACAGGGGAGCTGCTCTTGACAACTGTTGGGGGTTTGTTGACGGTACTGTGAGGCCCATATGCCGACCAGGACAAAACCAAAAGTGCTTATACAATGGTCACAAAAAAGTCCATGCTATAAAGTTTCAATCTATCGCAGCACCCAGTGGCCTTGTTGCCAACCTGTTTGGGCCTGTCGAGGGAAAGAGACATGACAGTGGGATGTTAGCTAGATCTGGAGTGTTAAACCAATTGCAACGATTTTCAGTGGACACAAATGGGAACCCCCTATGTATTTATGGAGATCCGGCATATCCTCTTCGACTACATCTGCAAGGACCTTTTCGAGGGGCTGGACTAACTCCCATACAGTCTTCATGGAATGAATCTATGAGTGAAGTCAGAGTTTCTGTTGAATGGATTTTTGGTGAGATAATAAATTATTTTAAATTTCTGGACTTCAAAAAAAACTTGAAAATAAGTTTAAGTGCTGTTGGCAAAATGTATGTGACATGTGCCCTTCTTCACAATGCTTGTGTAACGGATCCACCACATCAGACTACTTTGATGTTTCTCCCCCAGAAATTAAGGATTATTTTCACTAAGTCTGCCAAACAGGTTTTACAAAAGTTACATAACACTTTTCCTTTAGAAAATTGAACTGCTTTTTAATAAAAAAAAATTATACAATCGAGAAAGGCTAACATATTGGAATTAAAGTGAAATAAATGCCACCAAAACAAACTATTAAATGAGAACAAATAATGGTGAGCATGTTTACAGAGAGTAATGCAATTCTATAGTTGGATAAGCCCTATTGCCTTGATAAAGGCTCAGCCCCAGTTTTGATACTGGCATAACATCAATTCGGCGACTTTCAAAGATTCGCAAAATTAAGCAACATTTCCTTTACAACTATATATGTAAACAAGTAATTATTATTATAAATCTTTAATTTTTAACTTCCTTGAAAATGTTCAAGTTAATAAAAATGTGAACTCTTTGTGCATTTAAATGACCTCTTGCAGAGATTGACCAGCATCACTTCCCAGCAAACTTTTTCATTAGTTCCATAAGTGCAAGGGTTTGTTGTTGGTGCTGTTGCATCATGTTTGCATTCATTTGCATAAACTGCTGCATTTGCTGCTGCTGAAGCTGCTGGGTATCTCTAGTTTGCTTGTTCATCATATCCAATTGCTGTTGTCTTCCTTCCTGCTCCTTTGCTTGCAGTGCTAACTCTTGCCTTTTTATCTCCAATTCATCACGTTTTAAAGTAGCTTCTACTTCTGCCCTATCCTTCAGGTAAGCCAGAGTGCTTGCACCACTAGCTCTACCCTTTTTCGGTCTTGCTCCTTGCTGTTCATCGGCATTCCTTTTGGCGCTATCTTTAAAAGTTTCCAATGATCTCTTCCGCATTTCCTCTGCTTTCTTTGCTTCTTCTTCCTGCTTTTGTTTTGTTTGATCTTTGATTTTGTCAGACTCATCAAAAAATTCAATGGTTTCATCTAACAGTTGATCTAGTTCCTTGTCCTCTTCAGGGGCAATACCTGAGGCTCTGTCTTCTTCCCTGACTTTTTTCTTTCTTCTCTTTTCCATTGTTGAATAGTGGTCAAGAACAGACCGTTGAGTAACACGGAATTGGGGATAAGGAATAGCATTTAAGGATACTGCCAGCTTTTCCCAATCATCTCCTCTCTCACTAGTTCCTTTCTTGTCCAGCCATGGCTGCAAAAGCATCAATTCCCTCAACATAAGCAATTCGTGTTCTTCATTCCATTTCATTGATTGACTGAAAGTGCAGTGCAACAAAAATTACTTCATGAGGAAGAACTATCAGTATATCAGCAAAATTTGCTAACAATAAAATTATCATTGTATCTGAGATTTACTAGCACTTGGTCCTAATCATGATCAATATTTTTAAAACAAATAACATAACTTGCTTTGGGTGGTATTAACTAGATCATCATAATATTAGACAATATCTTTGTTTTCTTTAGTCCTCCAATAAATTAGCTGAACTTGTTGACAGATAAAGAAATGATCATGAGAATACATGATGGCTATCCTTTGCCTTCCAAATGAGGGAAACATACAATTAAGGTTGGAAGGACGCTTTCAAATGAAAACAGTCATGAATTACTAAAAAATGTGTAGCATTTGGAGCAAAATATTGGGCAATCAATAAAGTTTGGATTTTGTAAAATAATTCGTATTTAATTAGGAAATTATGTTAATTATGTGAACGTCTCTGTTTTGTATTTGTTTTTGATTCAGTTATAAATAAAGCAATATTTGCGGTATCGGAATTCGTCGATATAACTGTTCAACCCA